AGGTGCATCAAAAAGGAGAAGAGAGGATAAGAGAAATAACTTTTTCACTTCGGATATGAAGAATATTGGTTGAGAAGATCTAAATTGAAGTACGCAATGGTGTTCACATAGGAAATTTTACACTATCAAGGTATATACACAATTTTCAAAAACTCGTAACAACCAAGCGAAACAAAAAAGGAGATATTTAACAAAACATAAAATTATCAAGAATTTAATCGAGTGGCCAGTTTTTAGGAGGACAGAATTTTCCGTGTACTCCATCTACAAGAAAACAGAAAGTATGTTATTTGCAAGAAACAAAAAAAAAATTAATAGAGACTTTAATGTGAAAAATATGCTTGATGTATCTGCAAAACAATTATTGTATAAAATGCAAATTATATGATTATATTTTTTAGGTGAGTGATTTTAAATATTTATCTCTTTTAAAATTCTAATTTCATAAAATTAAAAATATAATAACTTTAGTCACCACTCATATTAAGATTGGTTTTTTTTTTTACCGAACACTCTCAATAGAAAGCAAGTGCCTATACGAGGGTGGATTGAAAAGTACTCGGCCTAACCAAGAAAATAAACACATACTAAATCAGTTATATTTTTATTTTTCTACATAATCACCGTCAAGTTCAATACACTTTTGCCACCTCCCCTTCCAAGCATTTAGACCGTTGAAAAAAAAAATGATTCTTCCTTAGAGTCAAAATATGCGTCTACAGCTGCTTTGACCTCGTCGTTTGTCGAAAATCTTTGACCTCCCAAGTGCTTTTTTAGGTTATGGAACAGAAAGAAGTCTGATGGTGCGAGATCAGGTGAATACGGCGGATGCTGTAACAGTTCAAAGCCACAGTTGTGATTTTCAGCCATTGACTGTACTGACGTGTGAACACGGGCGTTATCTTGATGAAACAGGACTTTTCTTCTGAGCATTCCTCGACGTTTTTCTTTTTTTTCCTCTCGTAAACGACGTAGTAAGGTGCAGTTGTAATCAGAGTTTATAGTCTGACCCCTTTTAAGATAATCAATCATAATCACACCTTTCGAGTCCCAGAATACTGAAGCCATCACCTTATTTGCCGACAAAATCGACTTAGCCTTTTTTAGGGGGTGGTGAACCAGGTCTTCTCCACTGTTTTGATTGTTGTTTTGTTTCCGGTGTACAGTAATGAACCCATGTTTCGTCCATAGTAACAAAACGATTCAAAAAATCATCTGCATCGGCTTCAAATAACTCCAAACAGTCGCGTGAAATAGTCAATCGCGTTCTTTTTTGTTCAACTGAAAGCAGTCGCGGAACCCACCTCGCAGACACCTTGTGGAAACCCAACTCGTTGACAATGATGTTTTGAGTTCGTTCATAAGAGATGCCTATAATCTCGGCTATCTCTCTAATTTTTAATCTGCGGTCTCCCATTATTAAATCAAGTACTTTTTTAATATTTTCGTCAGTAGTTGACGTCGAAGGCCTTCCAGAGCGGGGTTCATCTTTCACACTTTCTCTACCACGCTTAAATTCTGCTATCCATTTTTTGACGGATGAATATGACAGAGCACAATCGCCTAATGTACTGACCATGTCATCATGGATGGCTTTTGATGATAGCCCCTTCTTACGGAGGTACTTAATGACGTTTGGACGTACTTGTTAAGGTAGTAGGCAATGCTGAAAGAAATATAGGGCCAATACAATTAGGTGAAAGAGAGATTAAAGCTCCGATAAAAATATCAAACGTGGTGTCATAGATGGTGGATACTAAAGATTGCGTAGCCGATTCTGGCCTATTATATGCAATCACTTGAGAAAAATTCAGGTATACTTCCAGTAAAAAAAGGAAAAGTATATGCCCAAACAGGTCACTGAACTTTGAAAAAGATTTTTAATTTAGAAAATATTTATGACTACTTACATCTAATCATAGCTAAATACTATTAACTCAGCAGACTAATTGAAGTAAAAGAACCATATTCTCGTGAATTTATAAGTGTTAAGGCCCATGTAGAGTAGATACGCGATATTACTGCTCAAAAATTTCAACAACTTATGCCTCTAAAAGTTATTACGAGATGCATAGAATTGGAAAACCCTGCATGAAATTTGAGAATAGCATTGCTTGTTACATGCAACACGCTGTTATAATTGAAGATATTGCCTTACGATTGGTAAGCAAAATAAAGCAAATTAAAGCAGAAAATTGTATAGTTTTCAAAGCTAAAAACCACGCTAAATTAAACATTGCGGTAACACGATCAGCAAGCAACCTATTTTGGAACCTATATACTAAATAGTGATGAGCCTTGTGACCTGAAGAAACATGGTACTTACATTCACCACCACCTTCATCATTACAGTCCTACACAATTCCACTGATTACGATAGGTTTTCCACAAGGAATGCCACAAAGCATGGGCCTGAGACACATGTATCCATCGACTGCTAACGTCTATTTCTAGGACGTCCAGTATGTTGTAATAAAATATTTTGATTATATACTTGTAACCAGTGCAGTGAAAAATGCCTAAATATAAATTTTACCACGCGTTTCTCTCTTAATTAAAAATCGCTTTTTAGGAATAAACGTAGTTAAAAACGACGTGAAGTTTTGTTTACATCGTTATAAAAAATAGAGTACCTCCGTTTCAGTTCCCTCTAAAACTTTGTTTTTATTCAAAACGGATGTTTCAGAGAGGCTTGTAAAAGTGTCCACATAATGGTTTCGCATTATATGAAACGCATTGAATGTTTGGTTGGTCAAAAATGGATTATTTATTTAGGTTTTTGTATATCCAGGACAAAATATTAAACAGTGCTTTTTGAATGGATACTTGACATTTGTGGCATGTGTCATATTTCTTTCTAATAAAAAAATCTGTACTGAAATAATTAATGCTGAAGCTATTTCATATTTTAAAATGGTAGGACATGATATAGAACTGAAATGTAATCTTTAACTGCTGGCCATATGAAGTTCAAAGTTGCCCATCTATCTAGGGCAAGGGATGTGTTAAGAGTTTCTCTGCATGGTAAAAATTCGTAAAGAATATACTCAAAGAAAAATTGAGGTAACCGACATAGCCCAAAGGATCAGTAAGCTGAAGTAGCATTGGTTTTGCTATATGGCTCGAAGAACCGAAAACCAATCGAGAAGATAGGTTATCGAATATCAGGATCGTATCGATAGGGTCTTAATGACAATGATGATAATAAAAAAGATGAAATAATAAAAATAGAATAACAGGCTTCAATATGTAAAAATTAACTGTTTGTTTCTGCAAAATTTCGAGAATTGGACAAGGCTATGTATTTGGAGTATATTGCATCGCTATCTTAGAGTTGTAGCTTACTTTTTTATACCCTAAGATAGCCATCGTACTGAACAATCAAGAAGCAAACCTACTTACCTACATAAAAATCCGCCTATTTAGAGATTCATCAGATTTAAAATAAAAAGCGTTACTAAACTAGCTTTTATTCCTGTATCGTGGAGATGGTTTAAAAGCATAAATTGCACAAGGACATACATCCAGACCCGGTACAATTGTTTGTAGGATATACAAGTTTTTGTTCCGTGCGGGATTCGAACCTCATTGCTAACCCACGGAGCCGTCATAAATGGAGTAGTGAATTTTCTTATGTCACAAATACATGGTAAACTTATGATGTCATTAAGCAAAGCGCATATTAAGCAAAATGATTCCTAAAATAATCAAAATCTATATGTATTTATGCAGTGTTATGCTAGTGCTGCAGCACAAATGGGTCGGCTTGACCGAGACGTATCAAATTCTCACAGAATACCAGCATGAAACAGCAGAATTTCACCCTTGTTCTATGAAAAAAATTGGAATTTCGGAGGTCATTCACGGTCGGTCACGAAAGCACGAATTGTTTAAAATAAGACTTCATTTTCATCACTCTTTTCCTAATTTTTGCCGATACACTAAAATGTTTTTAATAGTTAATATAAGTTTGAAAAAGAAAAGAATATGGGCTTCTACTTCATAGTGACACACCATTGCTTTGAAGGCATTTGACATCAAACATCAAGGTTTACTTTTCATTGTTCTAAAGTTATGATAGTTTTGGGGGGAATGTTTTAAAGTTAAATATTACAATGCGATTATGGATGGCTTCCTATTTGATTTTATTTTGTTGTGTATTATTTGCTAATAATGGTCTTCTACTGAATACAAATTCCTCAAAAATTTACAATTGTTTTCCTATCGTCTATGTTTGACGTTGTTTCATGATGAGGCAATGAGGTCTTCTCAAAATGGTCAATAATTTAACTTAAAAAAGGATTTTATATAATAGTAGGAGTGGGCGATACAAGTCGTATAGTTCAATTCACGATAGTACAGCCTCACTTCACAGAATATCTTACATCGAACAATCAACGTGTAGTAATTGATATCGACTTCTTTCAGAGTAACAAAATCCCGTAGATGTAAACTGATATATAGATATTTAAATATATAGATTTCTAGGAAATACATCAACAGGTTAATTGTAAAAAGAATAATAGTGTGAAGCGGATGTACAACTTGTTCTTCTGTTTACGTGATAATAATAAAGTTTAAGCAATAAAAGCGTATTGCACTAAACAATCAGTAAAGAACAATTACAATTGGACCTTACCGTAATAATTTAATATTTATATTTTGGGGGGTATAGTTATTCGCGACCGTAGGAACTACCTAACCACTACCCTACACGTGCCCCTGGGTGGTGCTAAATGAATAACAACGCCGGGTCTCGGGCGATGGTTAATTAACCCGACCAAACAAGCCTAACCAGCTTGGTCTAACAGTGAGAGTAGGAAATGACTCCCACAAACCGCAACCCTCTTAAGGCTCCTCGCAGGATCGGTAGTCTAGGCTTAATTGCCCGGACTATGAAGAAGACAACTTCTATAAAAAATCACCATAAGTCCAAAGTACCAAATTCTAAAATCCCGACCAACCCTAATAGTATGATCCAACAAACTTTGCAAGAAAGCATGTTTATTCGGAACAGAAGCAACTCGACATCGTCTCTGCCAGCAAAGCTTAACGACTACAACTCCAACCAACATCACAAGGAGAAAGACAATCTGGATTCACAGACCGAGACCCAATTTGACAGTGACAAAATAACCTCAGACGAATGGCAAAGGGATGAAATTCCCACCAGGAGTAAGAAAAGGAAAGAAACAAGTCCAATTCACAACGACGGGAATAAAAACCAGAAAAATTCCCCAGACTTTGTGATCCCTACACGCAATAGTTTTGAACTACTTGATACGGAGCCTACAGATAGAACCAACAATACAGACAAAGTATATGTAACAAAGCCAGAACCCATCTTTGTCACTGGTGTAATGAATGTAAATTCTCTTAAGGATGTACTAAACAAATTTCTAAAGAGCGAACATTACCTCATGATGTGGACACGTTATAAAAATTATACCTAAAGACATCCAGACATACAAAATGATTCGAGAGAACTTCATTGCCAATAATATTTCACACTATACTTACCAGCTTAAAAGCGAGAGAGCATACAGAGTAGTAAAATACCACAGAAATTTCAAAAGAATTGTATTAAATTGGATATAAAGTGAGACAAATAGTCAATATCAGACATCGAGATACAAAGGAACCGTTGCCTGTATTTTATGTCGATTTAGAACCAAAGCCAAACAACAAAGCCATTTTCGATGTGAAATACTAGAATAACATGAAGATTACCTTCGAAACGCCATATAAGAAAAAGGAAATCATTCAGTGCAAGAGCTGTCAGAGATTTGGGCATTCCAAGAACCAATGTTTTAGGCCCTATCGCTGTGTTAAATGCGGTAGCGCTCACCCTACAACAACATGTACAAAAAACCAGAAACTGAGGCTACTTGCGCGAGCTGTGATGAAAAACACCCCGCTCGCTACAAAGGATGCAAAGTGTACAAACGGTATAGAGAAAGAATTCTTAAATTAGATACTAAGTCAAAAGGAAAACCAATGCCTAACAATATAGAGACCAAAAACCAGGATCCCCACCTGGGTACTAAGACTAACCGCACAGATAATCAAAACTTAACTAAAACCTATTCAGAAGCAACAAAAACCAAGGAACAATATACTCAGCATAACACAAAGAACGACTTGGCGGACTTTTCTGATTTAAAGGACGTAATGTTTGAAACACTAAATCATTCAATGGTGATAATGATGGAAAAAATCAGGGAAAAAATGATGGACCGCATGGTCCAGCTAGTCAGCAGCCTGGTGAAAAAATGACCCGAAAACTCCAAGTAGTTACTTGGAACGTCAACGGCTTGACGGAAAGACGTCAAGAATTAGAAAATTTTCTCAGAACAGAGATGATTGACATAACACTGTCTCTGAATCAAGATTCACACCGAAAACACACATACACTTTAATAATTATACAGTATACACAACCAATCATCCAACTGGGAACAGCCATGGAAGAACAGCAGTAATTCTTCAAAATAGTATTAAACACTACCCCATAGAGGAATACCGAACAGAAAAAATACAAGCAAAATCTATTAAAATTGTAGACAGCAAACTAGAAACTACATTCTCCGCTATGTATTGTCCTCCAAAACATACTATATCTGCCAATGACTTCGCAAAATATTTTTCTACACTGGGTAACAGATTTATATGTACTGGCGACTGGAATTCTAAACATTTAAATTGAGGATCTAGACTGAACAATACTAGAGGAAGGCAACTTTGTAAAGCCACAGTAGAGATGAAATTAGAATGTCACTCCGGAAGAGAACCTACCTATTGGCCTACCGACAGACAAAGAATCCCAGACTTATAGGACTTTTTTATTGTTAAAAATATAGATAGTAACTACTTAAACATAGAACCTCGAATAGATCTCACATCTGACCACACCAGTTATACTGAATGATCCTAAGGATATACAACTCGAACAGACTGGACAATCCATAAAAATATAATCACAACAGAGACAGAACCAAAGACCAAAATTAATACAATAGAAGAACTTGAAAGGCAACTGGAAAAACTTAATATGACTATTCACATTGCTGACAATTCTGAAACTCCAAAAAAGACAGGTAATGGACAAACTCTGAAACATAACTCATATCCAAAAGATATTAAAGAGAAAATACAAGAGCGCCGACGTTTGAGAAAAATCTGTCATACTACGGGATATCCAAGTGATAAAACTGCTTTCAATAGATACTCAAATGAACTCAAAGCTCTTATCAGCACCCTAGAAAATGATAATATTCAACACTATCTCTCAAATCTAGATCCAACGAGAGACACAAACTACACACTATGGAAAGCTACCAAGAATCTAAAGCGCCTGAAAAACCATATATCACCTATCAATGATGAAAAAGGAGGATGGGCTAGATCAGATAAAGAAAAGGCAACAATCTTTGCGGAACATATGAAAACAGTTTTCCAACCACTCCCTGAAAACGATCCCGAACACACTATGGAAATCAAAGAATACCTCGAATCAGCGAATCAAATAAGTTTACCACTAAAAAGTAGTGAAAATTGTGAAAGAAATAAGGAACCTCAAGGATGGTAAAGCACCCGGCTATGACCTGATTGATGCCACATTACTTAAAAACCTGCCTCATATAGGGATAATGAAATAAGATTCACACATCTTTAATGCTAGCTTAAGACTTGAACATTTCCCTGGGCAATGGAAAATTAGTTATGGTGCCGAAACCCGGTAAATCCCCACACAAAGCTACTTCATACAGACCTATCAGCCTGCTACCAGTTATTAGCAAACTGTTTGAGAGGATATTGCTTAACAAGATGAAAGAACATCTAAGTATAGTATTACCGAACCACCAATTTGGATTCCGGGAAAAACATGGGACAATTGAACAGGTACACCGTATAGTTGACACCATAAGCAGATGCCTTGAAAACAAATTATATTGCTCTGCAGTCTTTTTGGATATCAGCCAAGCGTTTGATAAGGTATGACATGACGGCCTCCTGTTCAAGCTAAAGAAGCATCTCCCACATTGTCTATTCCTAATATTGTAATCCTACTTAGATAAAAGATGCTACCAAGTGAAATACGGTGATGATCTCTCAGAAGTACACGAATTAAAATCAGGTGACCCTCAGGGCATTATATTGGGCCATATACTATACCTCATTTTTACAGCAGATATACCAACAACTGACTACACCACGACTGCGACATACGCTGATATTACGGCGCTTCTGTCGGCTCATAGCAACCCAGAAACGGCATCATCACAGCTGCAAAACCACCTGACAGAAGTTGAGAGGTGGCTGAAGCATTGGATAATAAAAGCCAATGAGAGCAAATCGGTACATGTAACGTTTACTCTTAGGAGAGAAACATGTCCACCGGTGTCGCTAAACTCCAAAGTTATCCCTCAAGAAAATAACGCAAAATACTTGGGCATGCACCTAGACAGGAAACTTACATGGCAAAAACCTATTTAGACAAAGAGCAAACAACTAGATGGAAAACTGCGGACACTGAACTGGTTACTGGGACGCAAATCACAACTAAATCCTAACAGCAAGATGCTAGTGTACAAAACCACCATAAAACCAATCTGGACTTACGAGATACAAGTGTGGGGAACGGCCAGCAACAGTAATATAGATATCTTGGAGAGATTCCAGACCAAAGCTCTGAGAACAATGTTTGGCATCCCTCATTGTATAAGTAATAGATACATATACCTCGACCTCGGCCTAAAAACAGTTCGACAGGAAATAGCTCAAAACAGCCTGAAATACCAGGAGAAGCTGACCGCCCATGTAAACAAACTGGCACACGCTCTGAGCGGAGAAGGCGCTCTTCAGTATACCCGGCCAAAAAGAAGTGACGTACCGAGCCTACATAAAAGATTTATCACTTGATTTCTAAAGAGTCGTGTGAAAAGTTTCATACAAGTATGGCTCTTGAGGAAAACATAAACTGAGAAATCAAACAAACAAGTGGCTTATTGCTGGAAAGAAGATTGCCATGCAGTATAAACATCAAAAAAACCCGTAACAATATGTCCCGTTACAATTATTCAGTAGTGTAACATGAGAGACTTATTTACATGATAACACTAAAGTATACTTACCAACAGTAAAATTATCTATCTCATTGTAACACAGAGCAGCTTCTCAGCAAATACCATCTTCCTTGCCTGCTCTCTAAAAATTACTACAACGTACAGAACCACGAAAATTTCATCAGCACTTGTAGAATGATTTAGGCAGAATTTCCCGCACAGGGCACCTACAGTGAAATTTATACTGTACAAACGAGTGGGGTCTCTCAATATACCCTCAATTCTACCTCGACACCATCGATAAGATGCTCCGTTAGCACTAGAGTGCATGCGTGGGCTACATATGTAACACAACGTGTAGAACTGCCGTTAATTTTTAAATTAAATTAGCCATAGCGCCAAAGTTTCGTGTACTCCTCAAATGGTAATATCCTTCCCACCATTAGCGTGTCGACTCCTGCGATATTCAGACGCTATAGTATAATAATACGTTACCAATTCGAGTAATTATGCACATTTAAATTTACTTAGTACTTGCAAACAATATTGCACAAGCGGCATACGATATCAACGACGTTTACGGAGTAAATATAACAAACGAATGCAACACCTTTTATTGATTTATCCGCAAATTTCGTCCCGAAAAACCCCCAAGGTCTTTGGAAGGCTTTGATTGACAATGACGGATTAAAGGCGATTGTAGAAGCTGCCTAATCCATGGCTGAATTAGCAGCAGCTTTTGACGTAAGCATCTAAACAATATTGATCCATTTGCATCAAATTGGCAAGGTAAAAAGCTTGACAAAAAGGGTGCCCCACCAACACAATGATCGCAGCGAAAAGCACGAGTCAAGACGTGACTTCATTGCTCAACAGGTAGACTATCAAAGGAATTTTGAACCGCATTGTTATCTGCGACGAAAATTGGATTTTGTTTGACAATCGCAAGTGCTAAGCAAGTTGGTTGGATCCTAGTTCAGCACCTAAACAATGCCCCAAACGCAAATTTACCCCGAGGAAAGTGATGGTCCCTGTTTGGTAATTCAGCGCTGGTGCGATTCATCACAGCTACTTACTAAATGGGGTGAGCATTACTGCAGATGTGTACTCTGAAGAACAGAACACTTTGATGGAGAAGCTCGCACGTTTCCTACCAGCTTCTAAAATTTTATTTTTTTTATTATATTGGGATATTTTTGTAGTATTCTTATAAAATATTAATTTTGTTCATTTATTTTATAAAATTTATATTTATAATAATTATTATATTTAAAATATATATGTCAAACATTTAACATAAAATAAATACCTAATTTGAATTTGACATGTAGGATTGGGTAGACCCATTTTGTGTTATTTAAATGAAAATACGTATTATGAAATATATATTTATAATATTTCATACTACTCGTATAAATTTTCTTAAGTTTTCTTCTGATTTTGCTTAAATATTATGAAATTATTATTAATAATATTTCATAATATGTATTTTCCTACCCTTTCTTCCAATTTTGCTCTTGCCTAGTATGGGTTGACCAATACTGCACCATTTACTATTATTGGTACTTTTCGAGATAAGATAAGATTTATTTATTTTTTCATTTGAATTGAACATATCATTTGAACCATTATTGCAATTTTCATGGAGATCTGAATATAAACATAAGGATATATAAGTACCCATACAGAAGATATTTTGAAGGACAATGCATTTCCAAGTAAGTCCTATGGAAAGGATTAATTCAACATCTGAGAATATGCCACAAGAATGAATTGATGACTCAGTGGAGTCGAGTAACTAGTACTACTAACTTGTGTCAGTTTTTAGTATTTACAGAATGAATATCACTTCTGTTTTGGAGGATAGGGTGACAAACGAGCACACAGTCCACCTGATGGTAAGTAGTTGCTGCGGCCCATAGACATCTACATCTATCCTTGATTACGAATCCAAATGCAGATGCGTTGTCACCCGTGAGGACTAAGATGGAATGCCTCGTTTCCAGTAAAAAGGGTCCCCGGTCTCTACACTCCTCATACGAAACACAGCAGCGCTAAGCTACTGTTTCACGCAGGTATTCTGTGAGAAATTGATGTGTGTGTATTTTTTAAAACTAATTTTATTAAGCTATTGCATAGCTTCTATCGCGGGCCTTGAGCGTGGGGACCGAATCCAGAAATTTATTCCGCCTTAACGAAAAAACCTCACGTTCCCCACTCCGACGGGCACGGAGGTGTGGCTTGAAGGCCGTGCATTGTCTAGGGTCGTTTCTTTTTTCGGCAGTCTTCGACACGGTGTTTGTGTATAAAGTGTTTTGAATATGAATGAACAAAGTGCATTTATTATTAATGAAGAAAGTCACGAAATAATAGTGAAAGAAAACGAGTGAGTACTCTATATACATACATTTTATTATTATTACAAATGTAGTACTAATTTTGAATTGAAAATATAATACTGCTATAAAGATAACCTAAATTTTTGATATTAAAATGAGCGATATTAAAAGTAGCCCTCTTTATGTACACACAAACACACACAGTATAGTTTTAATTCTCAATTTAGATTATATTATATATATATTTTTATTTTAGAGTTCTACAGAATACCTACTTGCACTTATTTTAACTGAAATATAAGGTGCTTCTAAACTACAATATGCCATGGCTGCAACTGGTGGTTCTACTCATGATACTGTACCACTTTCCCCAAGGAACCCATAGTCAATTCTCAAAAAAAAATTGCACTTTGTATGGAAATCGGTCAGCTGATTGGCCAAGTTTCCATACAAACAACCGTGGCATATATTTTAGAAGCACCTTATATAACAACATTAGATACTGTAAAATAAAAGATATTATTTTTACTCATTCGTGGTCAATTATTTATTTATTTATTTCGGAACATTGTAAATGTAAACCTTATATTAAATCAGTTCCTATCTTATCATTAATCTTAATCTTAGTTCTTAACCTTAATCTTAGTTAATTAGTTATTAATCTTAGAAATCCCTGCCTAATTAATAATAAGCCATATTACAAAAATGAAATAAACTTTGTATTCTCCTAGTAAACATCTGGATAGGAGTCCGTAAATTAAATAAAAAAATAATGTTTTTGATTCAACATTCATTATCCTCAAGTTTTTTTTATTGCAATTAAAGGGTATTTGTTTTCAACAATCATATTAAACCAACTTTTCTTGTCCATCTAGTCATATTTAAAATTTACCAGAGTCAGGTTATGGTGCAAAAACACCAAAGATCTGCCTTATCTGGCACAAGTTTGTTACGTTTTTTTTCGTAGTTATATGTTTCATGCGGTGTGCGGGCGGGGTATTCGAAGTAAATGCGTAAACAAGTCACGACGCGTCGCTCTCGAGAAAGCGTGCGAAAATTAACTGAAGTTCGGCCGAAGTTCGGATTTGGTTCAAATCACATTCGGCCCATCTCTAATATATATATATATATATATATATATATATATATATATATATATATATATATCACAATATTGATTCTACGTCCTTTCATTTCGCATTATTGTAGCTTCCACCACTTGTTAGCAATTTTAATACATTATGACTGCGAATATTGGTCCATTAAACAATTTCAAAGATAGTGTTTAACTCATTTCTTTGAAAATTTACCATATATCGATATACAAATATTTATATATTGCCAGACGGAGGGAAACCAATCATGACTCCCTTCCATATTACAAATTATCCAGAATCCCCGTAATATACATAGTTTTTAATTCATTTTCCTGCTTAAGTTGACACTAGTCGACATTATTTCCATAGAAATTTCGGAGGGGTTTTACTCCGCTGTTTGACAGTGTACATCAACAGTACATACAAGTGACAGTTAAACATGATATTGTTTTGTCTCATTATTAATTTTGTCTGTACGGAAACAGAATAGTAAAATAAAAAGTCATTAAAAAGTTACGAGCTATCAAAGATTCGTTTTTATTGCCAATTTTAACACAACTTTGGGCATAAATTAGTAATAAAAGCAGTGTAAAATTTCCAAGACAAAGTCGGTACCGACACAGCTCAATTATCGAATAATTCAATAAATTTTATTTGTAATTGATTTATGCAGTGGTTTTTTCATAAAACCCCCTTCTTCCAAAGGCCTTTTCGTATTTTTTTACGCGCGCGTGTTTATATGAATTATCGTGCATCTCACTGAATAATGTTTCCCCCGGTGCGGTGCGGGAGGACGACACTTACACACACATGCATGCGCGGTGACGCGCGCTTATTCTAGTTTTATTCGACTCAGTCAGCTGCGGCCTGTGACGTTCGTATGACTATAGCTATACCTGCGCTCTAAATTACTACGCTACATTGACCCCTGCTTGAACTTTGGATTTCGATACTACTCTGTTTGGCATAGAAATTGCTATTATTGAAAGAGATGATGCGTTTTGGACGGCAGACAAAATTTTAAAATTAGATAGCTTTTACCAGAAATGTGTTTTGCCGGAGCTGATAGATCTCCGTTACCCTCGCAAACTACAATTTAGAGATCGAATGTAAATCAAATTGATATAAGCACAGACAAAAATAGCGGAATATAAATAAAATTTTGAAAAAAAAAAAACGATCTCAAAACTTTATTAATGTTCCGCTAATTTTATCTGTACTTACCTATGTCAATTTGATTTACATTCGATTATAATTATATTCTCAGACGTGCAGGTTTCCTTAATATGTTTACCTTCACCGCCGAACACGTGGTAAATCAGCACAATTGCAATTAACAATTTCATTGGTGCCGGCGAGGATCGAACTTGGGTCTGCATGTCTGAGAAATTAAAAAATATATATTTCGAAGACATGTGAAG